ACTCTAGTTCTTCAGTAGTAGTAGTAGTAGTAGTAGTAGTAGTAGTAGTAACTCGTGTATCTGAGAGTGTTTTTTCACCCATTTTGGAATCTATCAGCTGATTGAACGGCGTCATCAGTGGAGTTTAAAGATCTGTAAGTAAAGAGTGTTTTGCATGTTTCTCATCCCGTCGTCGTCCGAACACAGAGGAACGTCCGCCGTCGCTCGACATCGTCGCTTCCTGTGCGTCTGGCTGTGACCGGAGGGCTGTCGGCCATCTTGATTCTGCTGCTTCAGCCTCGACCAAACTGCAGACAAACGAGCAAACAAACAGAACTGAGGTCAGTCCACTTTAAACTGAGCTCTAGCTCAAACAGCGGCGTTGCAGAGATAGAGGGTGAGTGTTTCAGAGAGGACAAAGGTCTCATGTTGAGGATTTATTGCTTAAAAACACGACGATTTGTTGCATTTCTAACAAGATTCTTTGATGTCACACAAACACCTAAAATACTTTGATTTGACAAACGTTCTCTTACATCCGCCTCTCTAACTGCTTTTAATGATTTGTTCTCATCAACATGGGATGAATCCTTCATCTACTGGTGATGTTCAGAAAGGAACTCTCAGACTGCCTTAGAACCAGGCTGGATTAACCCCGGACCCTCAGGGCTCCTGGTCCTCTGCGTAGCAAGTCGTTTGTTTTGTTTAATAATGTGCATTTAAGCTAAATATACAATAAAAAGGAATATAAAGTGAAATGCTGCTGTATGTAATCAGAGTTTTGCACTGGACACGAGTATTTAAAAAGGAAACATGAATAGAGCGTCAACAGGTTATAACACAACTAAAACATTCAACCAGACGACAAACTAAACATGAATCAATGTCTTTGTTTAGTCCAAATATATCTCAAACTCGTCAAATAAATGTGTTCAAATGTGACATAATATAAACTGGTTGCAATAACAAACTTTGTTTTCCATTTTGGGACAAATGTGTGCTGCTGAATATAAAATTATCTGTTCAAAAATATAGTTTTATGATAAACATGATGCATGAAACGCATTTATAAGAATTTATATTATGATTCTATTGACAGGAAGACAGTGAAATTCAAACATTATTAAACCGTCCAAAATAAATGAGAAATGTCCTCATTTCTGTCATAAATAATAAATATAAAGTAAGTTTGTATTTGATTCTCTGCTTTGCTGCAGACATGGTCGTAATTCTGACAAAATAAATGGCTGAATATGTCAAATTTGAATGTATTTATATGTCACCAGATGTCAAGTTTTTCACAATAAAGAAGTTTTTATGTTGATATTAAAGAGTCTTTTTCTGATGTTCATAAACACAACATTATTTTTCGTATGTATAAAACATCGAAAACTTTAAATAGTGTGAATCATTTTTACAGTCACTTTACATTAAATATGATTGATTCTATAGTCACTTGTAGGAAGGTAACCTTTCTAATATGTTTTGTATTTTAATGTTTCTTTTACTTTGTAATAACACATTTCACTTTTAATACAAACATTTCCAACATAAAAAACTCAATGATCTGGTGTTTATCTTTTAGTAACTGTGTTATTTGGACTTAAAGAACGGCACAAACCACAGCGGCTGAAGTGAACATTGAATCTTTATTGAGTGAGCAAAGTTCAGTCGTTGCTCCGTACACAAGTTTGGCAACTTCAGGTCTCGTTCCAAGAACACTGGTGAGATAAACAGGTCAGTGACATTTACACAACAAAACACACACACATGGCGACACACCGACGCTGTTTGAGTTCTGAAATCTCAGAATGATTTACCAACAGATCGACAGTCTGAAGGTCTGGACGCAACTTTAAAGTTTTTTTGTTTTCAGGCTCTTGTTTCTTTGTGTCTTGTTCTTTCTTTGGGTTTAAATACAGGAAAGTGTATACTTTATGTGACTGGATCATACTTTCTGCATGTCCTATTAAAAAGCAGCCGGTCGGATAAACATCCTGACGGTTTTCAGGCTGTAATTGTCCGGTTTATACGTCACCCACACGACTCCGTTTTTGACCTCGTACGGCGTGTTTTTCTCCGGCTCGTACGTGCCTCTATAATAAATCCCGTTCAGGTTGGCCGACTGGCAGTTGTTGTACCACCACCCGCCCCCGTAAATCTCCGCACAACTCTCCTCCCACTTGTCGTTGTCTCTGTCGAAAGTGCTGAATTTCATGCCCATGTGGGACGCAATGTTGGAGTTGGGCATCGCCAGGGCGTCGCCGGCATCCCCGGTGTACCCGGACACGTGCAGCGGGTACCCCTCCTCCTCTGGGCCGACCCTGATTGTGTACTCGGCGCCGGCCACGCCCCCTTCCCAATCCTCCACCTCTACCCTCAGCATGCTCTCGCCCTGATTCGTCAACAGGTGGAGGTTCTGGTTGCCCAGCCAGAACTCCCCCTTGCCCCCGGCGTCGACCGAGCCGAAGCCGTCGCGGTACTCGGCCCAGGAGCGGTTGAAGCCGAGCGCGCCGCTCTCTCTTTGCTGGACTAACAACCACCCGCCCATTAGCCCCTCCTGCTGGCAGTAAACCTCCACTACCTGTGCGGAGTCCGTGCCACCGGGTTTGATCTTAAACAGGCCGTTCGCTTCCCCTTTCAGGTGGTTCTGGTGGGCCTCGACACAATCTGCAGACAGAGAGGGGGGGCACGCCGCAGACTACTAGTTAGCTTGGGAGTGGCTATGCTGAAATGCTACTGCAGTGATAAAAGCGCTAACTTTCCAGGGAAACCCTTTGTTGTTTGATGACTCTTGGTGCGAGTAAAATTCTGTTTGGCAAATTTGGTCTTAAATGTTAAATTTATGAAACGTCAAAGATCAATGTAGAAAAATCTCAAAAGGCTAATGGCTACTTTCCATCTGTTAGCTTGTGACCTCGTGTGTGGCTACGGTAACGAGCAGAAAAAATTTAAATGTACTATTATTACGTCTGCATTTGAAATATCACCTGGACTGAGAATTCCTCTCCAGAGTATTTAAAATGTTTGTCTCGTTACAAAGCAGAAACAGTGCTCATGCTGTGTTCACACCAAACATGACGAAAACGTTACGCGCTACGAGACAATACGATACAAATCAATGGAAAGACGCGAATAGCAGCGAATGGACGCGAAATCGCGGCGGGCGCGTAATTGAAGCGAATACGCAAAATCCGCCTCATTCGTTAAAGCCAATCAGCATTGAGATTCTCCTCCTGTCATCACGTCTTGGCGTTGTTTAATCAGAAATGGAAGAAAAAAAATGTCGCCGTAGGTGTTCACCCAGATCTTTATGATGCCTAATATTACTACAGAGACCGGACAAAACTTATTTATATATCTTATTATATCATTTTTTATTTTGAGTGTTGATGGAGCTGCTACAATGTTAGCATAGCCTAGCACCGATCAGGCCGAGCTCCATTCAGAAAAGTATTTTAAAACTTATTTGCTTGTCGTCTTGCGGAGAGAACTAACAAAGCATGAATTTAGACTTTTTACAAATCGGCATCTTTATGTATTTATTTTGGCATCACTTTTATTTGTTTATTGCAATTAAATCACAGCTAAATCTGTTGATTTTGGGTTCATACAGCTTTAGTAAACCAGCCGACGTGTGTCTTGCAAAATAAAATGAATACAACTCGATCAAATTTACAGAGCGCCTCCGGATGATGTTGTGAACCCAGACAAGACGACGTTTAGCTTCCTGGATATCTGGACTTCCACAACATGTAAAAAGCAGAAATAGTGGTTATTTCAGCCGTGATGGATGGAACGTCTACAACGCGATTCGGGCGAATGACGCGAATAAACACAAATGATGCCGCGATCGAACTCCTACGAGTAACTCGGAAATTCGTTTTGTGTGCACGCAGCATTAAAGTTCATAATTGTCTTTTTTTCTACTCAATGACCCAAAATACCTCAACTAACAACACTGATTGTAAAAATCTTTAAGCTCTAGCGACAAACAATGGCAATTACTGTGTTCACTTCCTGTTTTTTGGTACATAAGGCTAGCTAGCTGATGCTAACGCACGCCGCCTAGCTGAGTGTGCCGTTCTGGGCCGTGAAGATTTTCACTGCAGGTCGGATGTTTCGGTACCTTTTCCTACATAATCGGCGTGCCGCTCGATACGCGTGCTCTTCACACTCCGGGCGTGGAAATCGGGGAGGTCATCGTCGGCATTGGCCGCCTCGAAAAGGCCGAGGTCATCGCCAAATGGATTCCCCAGATCTAAGTGGCTTCCCTTGGTGCCGCCGCTGTGGACGGTCTTGGTCAAAGAAGAAGAGGAGGAGGAGGAGGAGGAGGAGGAGGAGGAGGAGGAGGATGTTAAGCTAGGGAACAAAGAGCCCATCCCTCCCTTGGTGCTGTCCGTCATGGCTTGGCACTCAGGGCCTCCCTCCATCACCTCCTCTGTCTTCTCCACCGGCCCGTCCTTCGTGTGGACGATGGTCTTCCTGATGCTCCTGGTACAGGTGATGGTTTTGGTGGACACGTGGCTTGTGCTGGGCTGGCCGAGGCCGCCGCTCATGTCAAAGAAATCGCCCCCGAGCTCGGTGATGGATGAAGATGAGGAGGAGGAGGAGGAGGATGAAGAAGACCCCGATGAGGGTGTAGACTGAGTGTACGAAGTACCTGAGACCTTGGAGATGGTTGCCGGGGATGAGATGGAGCCCTCCTGCTCGAGCATCAACTCGACCATCTGCACCTGAGAATTAAGAAGAAGAACTTAAGCACGCGTGGGTTTTTATTCAAATGATGTCAATAAGGAGAAGTGTTGATATCCATGTTATATTTCTGTGAGTACTTTGTCTCCTGGGTAAAAAAACTAACAAAACCCTGTGATTTTTGGACGCATTCAAGATCCCATGCAGAGTTCCACGAACTCATTCAAAACCTTTTTGTGATAAGTCAACGGCCAACATAATCCACGACAAAACACATTTCCAGCAGTTTTGATGCAAGTTTATGGGATTTTGAGGAGACCAGGCTGGAACACAACCCGTCATATCCAGGTGGCAACCTCCGGTTCTGCCGAGTGAAGCCGATGTGGAACGGTCTTAAAACCTGCATTCTCTCTAGTGACCACCAGGGGGCGACTCCTCTGGTTGTATAGAAGTCTATGAGAAAATGACTCTACTTCTCTCTTGATTTATTACCTCAGTAAACATTGTAAACATGAGTTTATGGTCTCAATCTCTAGTTTCAAGTCTTCTTCAATACAGCATGATGTTCATTTAGTACATGATGGTCCATTTAGAGTCACACAGACCATAAAGCAGGGGATGCTTTAGGGCGGGGCTACACGCTGATTGACAGGTCTCTACCAGAGACGTATATGGCGTCTCTACGTCACTCCTCCTCAGTCCTAATATGGTCACTTCCTGTTCACTGGTTGCAAAAGAAACAACATGGCGACAGCGAAATCGCCGAACTAGAGGCTTCAAAACAACCGTCCACAAACCAATGAATGACATCACAATGACTACGTCCACTTCTTAAATACAGTCTATGGTCGTATCTTAAGTGATGATGGGAGGAAGACCTGGAGAAGTGGCTTCAGATAGCAGTAACAGACGGTACTAGCCAGGTGATGTGGGACTTTGAGACAGTTCTACTGTTCCACCCGTCTGAATAAAAAGGCGCCTCCCTTCATGATCACTTTGGTCGATAGCAACAGAAACAATGAGCCAAATAAGATGACAGAGATCGCCCTCCCTTCCCTCGGTGGTCGACCGCACATTATCAAGCTTGAGGTGCAACAGCTTGAGTTCATTTATGTCCAAAAGATCTCAAAAAGGAAAAGGGAAGACGCTGCATTCCCACTAACACTTGCAGACGTCTATTCAGTGAAAGCTATTACCCATAATTCACGGCAGGTATCACGTAGTGAGAGCTAACGTGGGAAAGGAAAGATGAGTTTTTCATGACATTACACAAAGAGACCCTCACATCGGGGAACATGTTGTCTCTCTGCTGTCCGCCGTCCACGTCCTTGGACTTCTGGAGGTTGTTCACAACGGTGGCCTTCAGCGGCCTGCTCTTCATCACGTACAGCGTCCCCACGGACTCGATGTTCTGGGCCGACTGGGAGTCCAGCTGGTTGACCTGGAGGCGGGGAGAGAAAGTGCGAGAACATGATTTTTGGGTCAAGATTTATTAAAAGTGGTTGAAAAATCCATCTGCGAGTGGGAGAAACCTGACGAAGCGACTCTCAAAACACACAACTTATAAGAAAATAAGTGGATAAAACACAAGCATAGATTCTGACCTTTTAAAAAGCTATAGAATAAACCTTTACCACATCTTTTAATTTACCTTTGGCAGATGTTTTTTTGCATAAAATTGTCTCACTTAAGTTTTTAATTTCAAAATTGTGCAGTGAAATTGAATTATCAGTTTCTTAATTTGTTAAACGTGGTTCGTCGAGTCGAACTTCAGGTAATGTTGTGTGTGTGTGTGTGTGTGTGTGTGTGTTCTCACCTGTTTCCCCAGTGCATCGTAGTCCTCGTGGTCCACCTCGTACTTTGTGTAGCTTTGACACGATCCTTTGCAGGAACGGAGCTTAATGTCGATATCCACCTGACGGAGGAGACAGGGAGTTGGAGTTCATGCTTCCTGTTTGGTTAACGGGTTTGTTCACACGTTAAATAACGTTTGATTCACTGTATAAACACATATTCTGCCAGAGAAATGTATGTTTGAGGAGAAATTAGCCTTTTCTTTACTTGCAGCAGCTGCACTCTCTGCTGGTGTGATAGCTGCGGCTAACGTTAGCTGAAGCTAAAACTAAAAACTACAGCTACAGCTCATCTCCTGCTGAAGCTAACTAGCTTTGTTGTGTTCAACTGATCAACTATGGTCAGTAAATAATGGACTATAAATGATCCGGTATATTTAATTTATCAATAAAAGAAAACAAGCACGAACACTTCACTGTCTTCACTTTTCAATCCACACAAACACAATCAGCAAAACAGAACGAACACAATAAACAGGAATTAAAAACAGTTACAAGAATCATAAAAACATCAGATAACAAACGATTTAACTCTTAAATGTTTGAGGTGCAACGACGTTCTGAGGTAAAATAACCTAAAAGCCGTAAATCTAAGTTACTACAGTGTCAGCTGAGTGTAAAAGCGTGTGTTTTGTCCCTGCCGTGTCTCCGTACCTCCAGCCTCTGCATCTCCACCACCTGGTCTTTGATCCGGTCCTTCAGGGCTCCCAGGATCCCCAGCTGTCGGTCGATCTTGATCTTCATGTCTGTGATTCTCTGACGCAGAGTCTGGGCCAGGTTGTAGTAGTTGTTATCGTTCCCTGGAGGAGAAAGATATGCAGACAGAGCACTTGATATTAACTTCACATGTAATATAGATTTTAGTCAGAAGCATCCCTGTATATTCAACATAATGTTCATTTCCCCCCCGGTTAACCTTCTGAACCCCGGAGCAGTTTCTGGTTTTTTTCCCCATTTTTGGGGTTCAGAGGGTTAATTAACGACCGTCAACTCAAAGGAGGAGATGGAAGGTTTCTACGCTCGGATAAGAAGAAGAAGACTGACCGGCGTCGATGGTGAGTTTGTCCTTCAGGGAGTCGTAGGTCTGTTTGGTCACCTGGTCGGTGGAGCGGTGCTTGGCCTTGTTCTGCTCCAGGAGGCTGCGGATCTTCTCGATCTTCCTCAGAGAGTTGTGGTCGAACCGGTCCAACAGACCCTGGATCCTGCAGCCCGACGGACACTTAGGGCCCTGATGGGGGGGGGGGGGGGGGGGGGGGGG